TTTTTTTTTTTTTTTTTTTTTTGAGACAGGATCTGTCCATGTAGCCCAGGCTGGCCTTGAACTCACAGCCATTCTCCTGCCTCAGCCTCCTGGGTGTTTTGTATTACAGGGGTGCACCACCACTCCTGGCTCAAATTTTTAAAATATAAAACAAAAAAGGACCAGGGACATAGCTCTGTGCAGAGGCCTTGGGTCCAAGCCCAGTACTATAAAATAAAAAAGGGTGACGGTGTGCAGTCCACAGAGCGCCTTCCCTCCAGACAGCATCTCCTTCCCAGTACGCAATGAGCCAAGGCCGGACCACTGTGCCAGCCTCTGCCCCACTTCTGTGGCTCCAGTGTCCCCGCCTGAGCTGGACCCTGGACCACATGCTGCATCCCACAATTGCAAACCCCGCCTCCCAGCTGGTCTCCCAGAAGTACGTAGTAGATGCTCAATAAATCACTGAAGGGACAGCCGCAAGCGACTTAAAATCCTGGCTAAGCGTTATTCTTAGAGGACACCCGCTAAAGCCCTTGGGCAGTGTTTGTCTGTAAAAAGATGTGCCCAGGAGTGTGGCCACTGGGCACATGGGGGTTCTGCCTTACAAGGAACTGCAGGGGGGAATGCAGTCAGTGCCGCCTCACTGAAATCTTTAAGATGATTAAAATGAGCCAGGTGTGGTGGTGGTGGTGGTGCACATCTGTAATCCCAGCGCTCTGGGAGGCTGAGGCAGGAGGATTGCAAATTTGAGCCCAACTAAGTTGAGCGATTTGGAGAGACCTGGTCTCAATCTAAAAAAAGAGCTGGGGATGTAGCTCTGTGCAAAGGCCCTGGGTTCAATCCCCAGTGCTGCAACAAGGCAAACAAAAATGACCAAAATGGCAACTTTGATGTTCAGTATATTTTGCTACAATAAAAAGATACCGTCTCATCCCCATCCTGTACAAAGCCCATGCTGCCCTGTGGACCCGAGTTCACGTTTGTGGCTTCAGTATGCCGACCGCTCTTGCACACTGTGGCCACCCCGCCCTGCACCTACTTGCTTCGTCGGAATCGTAGCTGTTGGCCTCGTCCTCCTCCTCCTCCGCGGGTGGTTGGCGGCTGGAGGTGGCCGGCGGGGGGGCGGCAGATGCTTGGGAATAGGGTCCTGGCGGTGGGGCCGCTCGCTCTTCCCTGGCCCCTGCTGTCCTCTCCTCCCGGGGTGAGGCAGTGGCCCCCGGGTATCCAGGGTCACCTGTAGCCACCTCTGTAGGGACAGAGGAGAGGACAAGGAAGAGGCGCTGAATCCCAGGAGCAACTGGGAAAGCTTTCACGTCAGTTCCCGGGCCCATCCAGAATTAGCGGCCTGCAGTGGGGCCTGGGGGTCCATGACTGATGGTCGAGCGGACCCAGATGTGGCCTCCACAGGGCGGTCAGCAGAGTGGACTTGAGCCAGACAGCCTGAGTTTGAAACTCAGTTGTGTGACCTCAGGAAAGTTCTGGAATGTCTCTGAGCCTCAGTTTCCTCATCAGTATAATGGGGCTCGTGATGCCCGTACCGCCATAGTTGCAGGGTTATTTTAAATGACCTGAGATCTGCAGCCGGAGTCATCACCATGACGACCAATGCGGGCGGTGCCCCTCAGGGACGGTCGTACACGTTCCCTGCTCAACGCCGAGGTCCTTCGCGGGTTAGAATGTGAATCCTCCCCACTCCCCGGGAGGCTGGGCTTCACGTCTTTCCCACATTACAGATAGGGAAACTGAGGCTCCGAGACAGTCAGCGACTAGTCCCAGGCAGGGACAGAGCCGGCCCCAGGGGCTCTTGGCCACCTCGGGTTGGCATTTCCTATCTAACGTCAGCGTGCTGGATTTGGAACCCAGGCGCCCCTGCTGTCCCTGGAAAGCCCGGAAGGGACAAAGCACACACTCGCCTGCTCTCTGGTCTGCAAAGCGTCCTGCAGGGCCAGGAACTGCTCTGCCGCCCCCTGCTGGCCCTGCCGGGGAGAGAGAAAGCGAAGTGGGCCACGGGGAGGGCGCTGGTGCCCCCCACCCCCCTCACAGGGGTGAACGTGGCTAAGGGAGACATGGGAAGGTCACCTGAGCCACAGCAGTGGTCCCGCTGGGGGCCGGGGGTCAGAAAGGCCCGGCTTGCACCCCACACCATGGGCCCTTCCCGCACCTCCAGGTCCTCTGAGGACAGGAGGCAGAGGAGCCCCACAGGATGGTCCCTCTCCATTTACCCCTCCCCACCGGCCCAGCATCTCAGAAGGGCTCAGCGGCACCTGCCCCTGTGCTGAGGTCCAGCAGCTCTTCCAGGTGAAAGGCGGACGGCAGGGACTGGGGACATGCGGGCGGGTGGTGCAGGTACCTGGTGGCCCTGGCTGGGGAGGGGCTGGGCTGGGCCCGGAGGCCGGGCTGGGGCGGGAGGCCTGCACTGAGTTGGTGCGTCTCAAACCTGCAAGGCGAAGACAGCGAACAGCAGTCGTGATTCACGCCCCACACATGAGCATGCACATGTGAGTGTGAACACACACACGCCCACTCCCCTGTTCTGGGCCTTGGTTACCCAGGCTGGTGTCAAACTTGAGACCCTCCTGCCTCTGCCTCCAGGGTAGCTGGGATTACAGGCCTGCACCATCGCCCCTGTCTCCTGTCTTTTCAGTACTCAGGCTCTGCAGGCAAATCCCAGCCATAGCTTGCTTGCAAAAAATCACAGGCTCTGTGATTCTCCTTCCTTCGGGGACTTTTCACCAGTGATCTATTTACTCCGGGCCTGTTTCCTCGCCTGTCCAATGGGTTTAACAGCACCTGCCCAGAGGGCCAAGGAGAAGACACAGCTGTACAATGCAGGCCGCACGCCCGTCCCTTGCACTCGACACACCTCAGACGCGATACGATTTTATTATGGGCCGACACCACCTGGTCGTCTGCATGGGGCCTGGGCTCTGGGTCCCGGCCTTCTCCTCTGTAAGCTGTGCGGCCTCTCTGAACCTTGGCAGCCTCTTTGGGGTGATGGCTGTGCCTGCCTCCTGCAGCAGAGTTAGCATTCGGCCAGCGCTTACCCGTGCCTGGAGTCTGTGCCAGAGGCTCATGCAGTCTCCGCCTAAGAACCCAGAGCGGGGCCCTCAGAGCAAATGACAGCTGGAGCCCATCGGCAACAGAGGAGGCTCTTGGGAGGGGTGAGCTGCCCATGACAGAGGGCAGGGAGCAGCAGGTGGACACAGCCTCTCACGGGGTTTCACACTGTGAGGGCAGACGCCGTGACTCCAGGAAGAAGCCCCGAGCAAAGGGGTTTCACTGGGAATTTTCCCCGCTGACCAACTCTCAGCCCCTCAGCGGGAGCTGCAGCACAGCAGTGAGACTCTGCATGTGAACTGCCCGGGGTTCAAACACCGGCCGGGGCACAGCTTCCGTGTAACCTTGGGACGCCCCACCCCATACCTACTAAGGGAGGACGATGATAATAGTAACTGCCTTGAAAGAACCGTGAGTGGGAGTAACAAGATAATACGTGCAAAGGCCTAATCCGCGCCTGGGCAGAGTAGGTGCTCCGACGTGTGAGTTACTATTACTATTCATTCACGGGCAGGGGTGTAGCTCAGCGGCATATGTGAGGCCATGGGTTCTATCCCCAGTACAACCAAAAAAGAAAAGCTCTCTGTGTTGGGCATGTAGGACATGCCTATAAGGCCAGCACTTGGGAGGCTGAGGCAGGAGGATCACTGTGAGTTCGAGGCCAGCCTGAGCTACATAATGAGATCCTGTCTTTAAAAAAATCCAAAGGCAAAACAAATAAAGAGAAACAGCCATTCAAGTCTGCAACCCTTTGAGAACCTATTACCAACTGGAATCTTACAATAGGCTGGAAAAGAGGAGGGAGAGCGAAGACTGTAGTTTGTGCTCAATAAATGCTTAGAAACACAATGAATTCATGGAGAAACCCCTGGCCGGTATTAGATCAGGGAGGGAGATTCAGGCTTCCAGTGCTCTGGACAGTGGAAAGCACTACCTCAGGGCCAGGTCTCACCGCTCTGGGGACTTAGAAGAAGGAACAGAGGACAGATGGAGGCAGACAACAGATGGTTCACAGAGAAGGCGAACACTTTCATGACCCTTGAGGGGCAGGAGACCCGAGTCTGGCTCAGGAAAGTCCTGAGCGTCTTTTCCCTCAGGAGGCAAAATAATGTAGAAATTAAAGACAGGATTTGATATATAAAAATGAACTCAAAGTGGATGAAAAGCCCAAACAAAACAGCAAAACTATAAAGGTCTCAGAAGAAAACATAAAAGGAAGTCATCGTGGCAATGATTGCTTAGATATGACACTAAAAATACGGGAAGCAAAAGAAAAGAGATAAATTGGACTTCATCAGAATCAAGGGCTTCTGTGCACCAACTGCCGCTACTATCGAAGACGGAAAGCAACTCACAGAGAGGGTGAGGTATCATGAATTACACAGCTGCCAAGGCATGGATATCCAGAGTGCGGAAAGAACCCATGTAACTCAGCAACAAAGAACAACCCAGCTTAAAAAAATTGGTCCGCGAGTCAAGTATACGTTTCTGTAAAGAAGACAGGCAAAGGGCCAGTAGGCACGTGGCAAGATGTTCAGCACCACTAGTCTTTAGGACAAGGCACCCAAGTCCACAGGAACACAATGAGACCACTTCACACCCGCGGGAATGGTGTTATTCAAAAACAAGACAAAAGGCAAACAAATAAAAGCGAGAAAACAACAAGTGTTGGTAAGGTTGCAAAGAGATTGGAAACCTTGTGCATTGTCAGCAGGAGTGGGACAGTGGTGCAGACGCTATGGAAAATAGCGTGGTGGTCAACAAACCACACATGGAGATGCCATCTGCTGTAGGTATGCACTCGACACACTTGAAAGGATATCTGTGCATCATGTCCACACATGTGCACCATTCATCACAGCCAGGAGGTGGGAAGAACCAAATGCCCACGAGCTGACGAATGGCTAGGTAACATGGCATATCCACATGGTGGAATATTACATAGCCCTAAAGAGGGAGGGCATTTGGACACAGGTTACAACGTGGATAGAAGCTTAAAGATATTGGGCCGAGTGAAATAAGCCAGACACAGACGAATATTATAGGATTCCACTTAAATGTGGCATCTAGAGTAGTCAAATTCACAGAGCTAGAAAGTAGAGTAGTGGTTACTGGGAGGGAGGAAAGGGAGCGGGAAATGGGTTATTATTGTTCCACAGATACACATTTCTGTGTTGAATGACGACAAGCTTTCAGGCGTGGACTGTGGGGTGGGAGTCACGCAACAGTGAGAGTGCACTGAGGGCCACTGAGTTGTATACATAAAATGATCAAAATAGTATGATATAAATTAATGGAGAACGCAAGCATGAAAGCTGAAACTATAAAACTCCAAGAGGAAAACATAAAGGGAAACTTCAGTTGAAAGTTCAGAAAAATAAAAAAGCATTGCTAATAAAAACTTTACATCTAAGAGAGAAAAGCAAACAGAAAAGTAAAGGTTTTGGGGTTTAATTCTCATTTTAGCCAAATATCAGCTCGGGGACCGAGGGCAAGCGGTGGCTCCCCCTCCTAAGCCTCAGTTTCTCCATTTGCAAAATGGGAATAACGTGTCTCAGGCCTGGCTTTGGGGTTGTGGCAAGGATTCAGGGAGGTGATAAAAGTTAAGAGTTCAGGACAGGGTCTGGTGCCCAGGAAGCCCTCAGTAAGTGTTCTGTGCCACTGCAGACCTAGAAATTCATGTCTTCCTGTCTGTCTGAACCATGGGTTCACTGAGGGGTCTGGGTGGCAGATGGCACGCGCCCCCCTGGGAACTGAGGTGCTCAGTAAGGAACCACAACTTAGGGAAAAAAACCAGGACTTCACGCGAGGGCCACAGCGCTCAGCTAATGTGACTTAGACCCAACTCAGCCCTTCCCTGGCAAAGCCACAAAGCTGCTCAGGAAGGGGTCATGGAACATGGATTTCCCCACGGAGCAGACATTCCCTTCGAAGGCCGCAGACCGAGGACTCTGGCCAGGGCCTCTAATCCCAGCCCCAGTGAGCCACCGGTCGGTGGCCACGCTGAGCCGCCAGTCTCCTCGGACAGTTGAGAGCCCTCGCCAAGGGAAGGAGGATCCTTGGAATGAGGCATCCTTACCTTGCTCAAAGCCAAGCAACATTCTCCCCAACTTCTGGGGGAAGTGAGGCAAAAGTACACGTTTTCCTTTTAAGGGCAAGAAAAGAACATAACCAAAATTTCATGAATCTCGTCTTTCCCCTATCACAGACCAGAGCCAGTGTCTGGAACAACCGGATGCTCCATTCACTCCCAGCGAGTACATAATGAACACCTTCCTCTCTCAGCTCCTTCGGGTTCTTCGAGTGCCCACCTGGACTCGCCACATCTCACCTGCTGGGCTCCGGCTGGCGTCTCCTGCGCCCCCACCATGGCCGTGGTCCCAGCTCTCGGAGTCCCGGGTGGCGGAGCTCATTCGCGCCTCGGAGGCTCTGCGCACGGGAGGCCCGTGGCTTCCTCGGCCTGGGGCGGAGGCCGGGTCGGGGCCTGCAGAGGGCAGCGGGGATTGAACAGAGAAAGGGCGGTGGAGGAGTGGGGCGGGAGGGCTCCCGTCCAAAGCTGGAGGCAGAGCCAGCAGAACCCACCTGGCTTCTGAGCTGGGCCCCTCCTGTCCTCAGTGTCACCTGCAGAGAGAGGAGGGGGATGATGGTGTATGGACAGCATTTACTTCCGAGGCCCACCGAGGGGCTCCTCTACCTCTCCTAAAAACATTCCAAAGAGTAAGCCCCCTCCCAACCTTCCTCTAATCTACCCCATGCTTAGTTTTACTTTATTTCCTTTGCATGCACAAGCACCGCTGAGCACACACAGACTTCAAAAAAAGAGTAGCTCTGGTGTAGTCTTTGCAGCCAAGAGGGAGTAACGCTTGCCCAGGAAGGAGGGTTCTCTAGAGGCGGAAAGTGGGCGCTACTCTGGATGCCACTTCTGCGGACAATTTGGCCGTTCTGCAAGGAGTGGAGATTGCCGGTGCCTCACCAGGGAGAAAGCATTTGTTGAATGCCTTCTGGGTGCACCCATTGTGCCAGGCACCTTGAAAGATCGCCGTATGAGAGACACAGCTGGGTACTCAGTTTTGTTTCTGTTTCTTCAGCACTGAGGATTAAACACTGAGCTACATCATTGGCCCTTTAAACTTTTTTTTTGGTACTGGGGATTGAACTCAGGACCCTGCACTTGTCAGGCAGACACAGCATCACTGAGATAAATCTCTGTCTAATTGTTTTTTTTAAATTTTGATACAGCTGCTCACTAAGTTACAAGGTTTCCCAGGCTGGGCTTGAACTTGTAATCCTCCTGCCTCAGCCTCCCAGAGTGCTGGGATTACAGGTGTGTGCCACCATGCCCAGCTGGTGCTGCAGTTTTTGAGAGCTTCAACTATAACCTTGCTTTCAGAATTACAGTCTGTGCTCAACTCCAGAGTCGCCACTGAGACCAGATCTGATTGCTTACTGTTAATTGAAATTACTGCAAGAGCTTTATCTGGTCAGTCCAAGAGGTCTAATCCAATCAAACCAAGTTTTTTTTCAACTGCTGTTTTGCCTCTCTTAATTATCATTTTAAAAATTAATAATAACACTTGTACAATAGTGATATCAATAGAGTGATAATTTTTCCTTTACTCTATTTATTTCAGTTCATTTTTCACTTTTAATTAGTCCAATTTCAGACTTGCACATAGCTGACAGAAAAAACATTGCAGGCCAGGAAGGCTTTCTCAGCAAGTCCCAATTCCCTTAGGCTCCAGGGTGCATTTGAGGGGAGGTAGGTTGTCTCAATTTGTATTTTAATTTCTCCTTTTGTACTTCTAAGCATTCTACCAGGGAGGACAGGAGATTTCTTGGCAGCCTGACTTTGCTGGAGAGTTTCCTGCGCTACCTTCCTGGTAAAGGTTTATGGTCAGCATGAAGGGGACAGAGCAGTCCTAGACCCCAGTCCACTAACTGTCCACTAACTGTAGAAACAGGCATGTGTCGGGCATCCTCCTGGTAGACCAGTTGGCTGGGATCTGTCCTTGGTGCTGAAGAAGGAATTGGGTTAGGGTCCTACCTCTTGCTGGAGCCCTGGCAGTGTGCTTGGGCTCAGGGGCAGGCTGCTCCAGACCAGCAGGCTCGGTGATAGGCTGCTGGGGTTTGGTCTTCTTTATAGGCATGGGCTGTGGGAGGACCTGTTTGGGGAAGCCTTTGAAGAACCACGCTCCTGAACGCTTCCATACCTGAGGGGGGAGAGAGGCAGAGAAGACGCAGCAGTCAACCGTGACTGCTTTTGCCTTTGCGAGTCAGTTTTTAGGCCCGCTTCCTCCCTACAGCGGGAGGTCCTCCATCTTCTTGTTGTGGTGCTGGGGATTGAACCCACGACCGTCACACTGAGCTGCGTCCACATCCTTCTTCCTTTTTAACTTTGAAACCAAGTCTCACTGAGTTGCTCCAGCTGGGCTCAGACTCACCCTCCTCCTGCCTCAGCCTCCTGAGAGCGTAGGGTCACAGGTGTGTGTGCCACCCTGTCCCCAGCTCGGTCTTCCATCTCCTCAGGTGACGCTACAGTAGCTGTGGTAACGGGGCAGCTTCCCTAACCCGTGGCCTTTGTGCCAGTAGCACATTGAGGCAGTGCATCAGTGAACATCTTCTGTGGTCTGTGAGGTCCATTCTGCACCACTCCCCACCTGGCTTGGTGCCCAGGAAGCTGAGCGGCGCAGGCTGCAGGAAGTGGGCTCCCTTGACCTCTGCCTTTAGGGCTCTGTGGTCAAGGAGGGCTCTCAGAGGACTTCACCAGCCAGGAGACTGGAGTCATGGAATCTGCATCCTTGGCCCCCTCCTTGCTAGCTGGACAGTGACAGCATCACGCTAGGCGGCAATGACTTCCCAGGCTGGGGACGGCTCCCTCCCATCTCAGAGTGGTAACAGCTGCTACCAACTCCATCCACTGTGACATCCCTTCACCCTGCCCTACCTTTGGAAACAGCTTAGATTTTATCGGACTCCCCCTGATTTCCCTGTTGGAGTGAGTCCTGCCTGGCCCTTCACTGATACCCAGAAGGTTGTGTTCATCAAAACCATCTCAAAGGCAGGAAGCGGCCAGGTGTGGTGGGGCACACCTGTAATCCCAATACTTGGGAGGCTGAGGCAGGAGAGCTGCTGCAAGTTCAAGGCCAGTTTGGGCTGCAGAGTGAGTTCAGGGGCAGCCTGAATTACATAGTGAGGCCCTGTCTCAAAAAACAAAAAATACCTCAAAACATTAAAAGCACAAAGTGGTAGCAGGGGGTGAGTGATGAAAAACATCAGAAAATGGGGTCAAATGAGTAACAAAAAGCAAGTCTAGGGAAAGGAAGGGTCCCGTGGGAGAACGGTCCAGAGACACAGTAAAGAGAAAAAGCAGGGAAAACGTGTGGAAAAGGAGGGAGGCTGGGACGACGAGGAAGAGCGAAGAGAAGGAAGCGAGGATGGGGAAAGAAGCACCTTACTTGAAGGAGGGAGTGTGAGGAAAGGAAAGATAGGATATGTGGGGTAGCAGGAAAGAGAAATAAAAGAGGTTCGGAGAGGAAGACACAGAAGGTGTGAAATGCGGATGAGGTGAGAGAGGAAGCCAAAGAGTGATGGATTAGGACAGAGGAGGGGAAAGAGACAAGGAAGGGAAGGTTGCAGACGCAGAACACGAAGAGGGAGACTCATCTAAACACTCAGAGGTCATTCTGCCAGTTCTCAGCCGAGCTAGTTGCTTTCCTTCCCTAAGATTCAAGGCCTGCTGCGGGGCTGGGGGTGTAGCACACACCTGGGATCACACCTGCAATCCTAGTGCTCAGAGAGGCTGAGGCAGGAGGATCGCCATGAGTTTGAGGCCAGTTTGGGCCACATAGCGAATTCAAGGCCAGCCTAGCCTACATAGTGAGACCCTGTCTCAAACAAAATGAAATGAACCGAAAAGAAACAAATCAAAATAGACACAAGTCCCCACCCAAAACCCCACTCTTCAAAGGCTACCCTACTTTCCTGGTCCCAGGGAGCAAGGAGGGCTGGAAAGGGAGGGAGACGTGGGCCCAGGCCACTCACCTCCCTCTGCTCGATGCAGATTTTGCAGAGCCACACAGGGTGCAGGCGGTTGTTGGATGTCTCCACCCCACACTTGGTGCAGACATTCTGGGGACAGAGCACAGCCCAAGGCAGACTCAGAGGAGATGTGAGGGGCTGGGAGCTCTGGAGGGGTGGCAGTGGAGCCCCAGGATCTCTTGGTGGATGGGTAGAACTAGAACTCCCCTTCCTCCCTCACCCTTTCAGCTGTGAGCAATACAGTTCTGGTTAGAATACAGTTCCAATCTAGTTCTTATTTGCAACAACAGCTCGAGTCCTTCATAAGCAGGGATGAAGGGATTCTCTAAGAGTCCCTGCAGGGTCCGAGTTTTCAGCAACCACACCGAGGAGGGCATCAACATCATTTTAAGAGGAAATACCATGCATCCATTTTGTTTACTCATTCACTTTTTCTTTCTTTCCCCAAAGGATCTAAGACAGTCTTGACCATGATGAGAAGCCCAACTCTGCCTGGAGAAGTAAGTTATCTGGGTCCAAAGCTATTTCTGTGGGGCGGAACAGTATATTTGAGGCTGAGTGTCCTGGCTGTCAGGACAAACAGGAAAACATACTAGGCCACAGATTCCCACTGTCCTGTTGGCTGCAGCAGATATGATTTTCAGACAAGATACACTCTAAGATTTCTTTCTAAATACCAAATGGAATAGGACATGCCGAGAGGCTGTCCCCAGCGGGGTTGCTCACCGGCATTCCCTTTCCGGGAATCGGGCACGCCCAGAGACAGTGGTACCTCTGCCCCAGCACTGCAAAGTACAGGTAGTTTAGAGGGAACGGGGAGGCGGCTGCTGAGAGCTCAGAGACTCCCCTCCGAGCATGAATGCTCTCAAAGCCCAAGGGTTTGAACTTGGCTGGAGAGAGGCTTTCTGAGTCTCTTGTCCCATTCCCTACAGAAGACAATGCCAAAAGCATGTAAAATGCCCCCCCCAAAGTAATGAGAGGTAGGGCTCTAGAAGGAGACCCATTAATGAGATCTATTAAAATCTTAGCCAAATGAGCTCATGGCTGGATGTGCTGAGAGGCAGGGCCAGTTGGAAGAGATGAGTCCCAGGGGCTGTCCCTTTCAAGGTCTATCTCCTTCCCTGGTCCTTTCTTCTTTCTGCTTCCTGGCTGCTGGGATGAACAGTTTTCTTCTGCAGACTCCTCTACCATGCATTTCTGCCTTGGGGCCAGTTGACCACGGACTGAACCCCTTGGAAACCGTGAGCCAAGAAGACCTCTCCCAATTTAAGTTGTGGGTATTGGGAGCTGGGGCCAGTGATAGGAAGGTGACCAATACACTTGGTAGCCACAGCTAGGACACTCGCAGGCGCCACCAGCCCAAGCTCCAAGTTCATCCCTGTCAGAGGTCAGTTCTAAGGGAACATAAGAATCAAGTGACTCCTAGGAAGGAACCAGGATCAGGGAGACAGTTGGGCATGGGAACATGCAGGGAGGACCCACGTCCCGCCAACAACCCGTCAGATCCCCCAGGTGTGCAGACCCCCAAAGCAGCGGCGGGAACGGAGGCCCGAGGGCAGTGGTACCTTCTTGCAGTCTTCACAGACGACACAGGCAGAGCCCAGCATCCCCAGCTGCTCCCCACACAGGATGCAGTGGTTCACCCCGTCCCCAGCCACGTTCCTCCTCATGTTCTCCAGGCGATCCACCAGGCGCCTGGAGGGAGACAGGGCAGTAAGGGCCTCGCAGGGCCAGGCCCCGTCACCATGTCCCCCAGGGTCACAGTGAGGGTCTTAACCTCTGAGCTGTACGCCCTGTAACCTCCGATGGTGGCTGCAGGCCCTTCCCCCAGAGGGGCCCCGGGAGCTTCAAATCCTGACGCACATTCAGGGCACCAAAGCCCTGCTCAGCATCCACGCCCCTCACAGTCCTTCCAGTCTAGTGGCTGCAGACTAAGAATCCCGTCCCGACCTTCTCACTGAGTGACCCCGCAGGGAGCTGCCCTCGTGCTCCACATCTGATATCTGAGGGACTACGCGATGTCTGTACCTGGCTGTGCTCATACACAGCACGGAAAGCTGGTGCTTTCGGGCCAAGTCCCCTCCACAGCTGCTCCCCGAGCTCAGGAGAGAGCACTGCCACCCACTAACTGTCCAAGCCAGAGACTTGGTCATTCAGGGACCCCACCCAATCACCAAGTTCCACTGTGTCCACCTCCCGACCCCTCCTCTGGCCAGCGTCACCATCTTTCTTCCAGACAGCTGTAGTAACGCCCTTTCACGTCCTTCGGCAACCTGTGCCCAACCCCCAGCCATGGTGACATTTTGTGTCGCCCTCACCCCTAAAAGGATCTGCTGCTGGCCATTTCACGGGGCTTTGGTGGTCCTCCGTGCTGCAACCCTAATCCCCTTCTCCCTCCTGGGCCTGCACCAATGGTCTGCAGAGGCTCCCCAAGCAGTGCCCAGACTGCATCAGCAACACCTGGGAACTTGGTAGAAATGTGACTTCTCGGGCCCAGAAATGCCAGGTGGGGCCCAGCGATGTGCGCTGTCACACGCCCTCAGGTGACCCTGGTGCCCGCTTGGCACCGCTCCAGGGACCTGGTCACTCTCCCACTGCAGTTCTCCTCTCTGCCTCAGGACCTTTGCTCATTCGGTTCCTTGGACCTGGAATGCCCCCTCCACACAGATATCTGTGTGTGACCTTTTCCCGATTTGTTGCACATGTATGAGTGCGTGCGCACACACGCACACACACACTTTTACACTTTCCCTGCCTCTGTTCTCATCCTTGAGATTCCACCTCTCACTTCACCTCCTCCTAGAAACCTTCCCTGACCATCTATTTTATTTACACTAAAAACATACTGGGGACTCCGCACAGTGCTGATCACATTTGTAAGCAACCAGGAGACGAAATCATAAAATAATTCACGGATTCTGACATCATCTCCAGCTTTCCTCTAGATTATGGTGTTCCTTTAGCCGAGGGATCTTATCTGTCCCGTCCCTTATGTGCTCAGAGCCAGCTCAGTGCAGAGCAGGTACATGATAGTTGCTTTGTTTTTGTTTTGAGACAGGGTCTTGCAACGTAGTCCAGGTTGGGCTCGGACTTGGGGTCCTCCTGCCTCAGCCTCCCAGAGTGCGGGGATCACGGGTGTGTGCCACTGTACCTGGGTCACACAATGACAGCCACTCACTCCCACACTGGTTCCCAGGGAAAGCTGAACGGGGTACCAGGCGATGCCAAATAACCGCTTGTCTGTACAGAGGTCCCTACACATGTGGCCTGGTCTGCAGCGCCTGGTCACCCACCCCTAGGAGGTGGGCACTGCCATGGTGCCCCTTTGCAGGCGAGGAAGGTGAGGCACAGGGAAGCTGAATGACAGAGTCCAAACTGGAACAGAAGTCTCGTGTGTGCTGCACCGGAGCTTGTCACACTAACCTGCACACGGATGACGCGGGACCTTGTCAGAAAGCAGGTTCTGAAACACCGGGTCGGGGTGAGGGAGCTGGGGGCCACATTTCCAGAAGGCTCCCGGGATGCCACAGGTGCCGCTGGCCCAGGGTCTCTGGGTGACGAGGTGATGTGGCTGTGTAGCCCTCGCAGCCGTAGGCATCCTGCTCCGGGCTCAGCGTTTTGCTATTGTTTTCTTTTGCAACACTTCCTGCCACTCTGAAGTCACTTCCTTGACCTTCTCTTCAATGACAATTTATTGCCCCATCGCAGACCCAACTGGCGGACCCTGGTGGAGCCCCACTCTGCACGCGCCCCTCTGCAGTCCGGGTCCCTCGGAGGACACTGTGTGTGTGTGAGAACCGATGCGGGAGCACTTGGGTGTCACGGCCTCTGAGGGCCTGGGCAGTGCCGGCCGCACCCCCACAGCGACGCTTCGCGGGCTCCCTGCCTCCTCCTCTGCCGGGACCCAGATCAGACTACAGGGAGGAGGTGGGGTGCGGGGCTGACGGCTCCCCTCATCTCCCCACCCACCAGGCTCTTCCCCGAAAATGATTCCCGTAGGAGCCGGGGGGAGACGGCGGCCGGGAGCAAACCCACGGTCTGTGGCCACGGAATCCCAGCAGCACCGGGGCAGCTGCTCACTGAACACTGAGTGACAAGCACGCAGCTATGCAGCCGATTTTCTTAATGAACCCTCCTAGCTGCACTAGAAGCCAAGGACTACGGGCCATCCCCGTCTCGAGGTACTCTGACTCCACTCCCGTGCCCAAGAGGAACACAGCCAGCAGAAACCGCACAGTGGGTTTTGCATTCTGATCGGTTGCTGGGCCAGCAGAGTGTGGCGCGGTCCTCTCGCCATGTTGAGTGCCCCACGTGGGGTCCTTGGAAACAACTGAGGCTCTACAGCGTGCTGTGCTGGGTGCCAGGTCAAGGGTGTTCCACATATTTTCAAATAAGAATGTTTTCCACGGAGAGCACCCATTTATTAAGAGGCAACGCAAACACAGAGTTAAGTGATTTCCTAAGTCACACGGTTAAGAAGGAGTGAAAACCAAGATGCAGACCCAGGACGTCCGGCTCTTGGGTTTGTGTCCTCAGTGCTACACTCTGCCACGTGCCAAGTGGAGCCGAGGGGGCCCTGGAGCAGCTCAATCTCTACCCTGGCCGGTTCTCCTGCCTTTCCCACCCCAAGGGGCCCTCGGTCACCAGCTTGAACCGAGTCACACGCACATCCCGCTGGTTCTGTTCCCCCAGTGGGGACAAGAACTTAACTGCTGCTGGGCATGGTGGCCACACCTGTAATTCCAGCATTCAAGGAGGCTGAGCTGGGGGAACTGCAAGTCCAAGCCCAGCCCAGGCAACTTAGCAAGACCCTGTCTTGACAGAAAAAGAAAAAAGGGGCTGAGAACGTAGCTCCGAGTGAAGGCCCTGGGTTCAATCCCCAGTAGAAAAATAAATAAAGGGCCGGGGACTTAGCTCAGGGGTGCCACTGTCTGTCTAGCAAGCACAAGGTCCAGAGTTCGATGTAAGGTACCAAAAAAGAAAAAGAAATAAAAAGAGAAAGAAAGAGTAAAGGAAGGAAGTATAGGAAAAGAAAAGGAAGAAACCCAACAGCTTCTTTCATCATATTTCTCTAAAGAACTCTTAAAATTAAGCCAAGAAATCCAATTTTTCAGATTGGGGGTTTCTTTTTCCTCATGTGGAAAACAGAGGGTTTTGGGTTGCATCAGTAGTTGTCACACTGTGCTTCTTGGCACCGCTGGGCTCCAAAGGGCTGGCCCAGTTCCCTCCACTGTGTGGCATGGTGGGAGACCCTGAGGGGCCCCCGCATCCCACTTCACCCAAGCACGGCTGCATTTATCTCTGTTTGTTTGGGCTGCTGATTAGATTCTCTCTGCAAAGTTGTTTCTGGAGTTTCAGAACTGCAAGATGCCAGAGGATTATAAAATACTCTGAGACAGCAAGGTGGACTTGGAGAGGAGGGTTTGGAAGTGCAGAAGACACTTCTCTCGCGCGGTCCTTTCTTCCCCACCACCTTCTTCGTCCACTGTCCTAGCCAGGGAATAGTTAGATTTTGTTCTTGTCTTGCTATCACTGCGGTCCCAAAGCACAGGGAGGGTAAGAGGCTTTCCTGGCTCACACAGCCAGGGCCGGAATCTAGTTTTCTGCTCTGGAAACCATGCTGGCTTTCCACGAAGGCCTTGTGACTTTGTTCCTCAGGTCCAGCTCTCTGAGGGGGCGCGGGAAGAGCGCGTGTCATAGGGGTAAGAGCAGCAGTGAGATTTGTTAGGGAAACAAGGGTCTCTGGCCTCTTCTTGGACAGTGAAGGTTAGAGATGTGTTCAGCACCTGCAAACCCACACTGCAGCCCCCCTTACCACACCCCCGATCCAAAAGGTGCCATTAACACCAGTGGACAGAAAGGCTCTCTCCAGCTTCCATCAAAAGCTGCAAACGGCACACGAGTCCAACAGTTCTAATTTGCCCAAAGAATTCGCTGGTGGCACTTGGGGCTGCAGCATTTACCCTGACATAACTTGCAGATCACCCCCCAACCTGACCCCCAAAGTTTGCCAGGAAATATCTTGTTTTTGTTATTTTAGCATTACTCTGCTGTATCAATGGTCTTTAGAAACAAAAGACGTCATTTTATTCATAGCCTTCTGTTTTTAGTAGTTGTTCTGTTTACAAAATATAGTAATTTTCTACTGCTGGAAATTAAACGAATGCTGGCAGTGAGCTGTACTGCTTCTTTTTCTGAATGGGAAAGGGGATGAGGCCCTTATTCAGGCCTTTGTTATTTGGGAATTTGGTATGGACCCATGAAGAGGATCGGTGTGAGGTGCGCATGGGTCTCTCTCCCTTTTCTACCTAAGATCGGAAGTGATCAGGAAGTTTCTCTCAGCCTGTTTGTCTGGACATCCCTCTGTACCTTCAAAAGCTAGGGCTGAGACTTGGAAGGCCTCAACAGTCACAGATTTTAAACTCAGAAATAAAGCTTGGCAGGAAGCTAAATCAAAATTGTGTTACAAGAGATCACGGGCCACAAAGGGGCCTGTATCCTGGGATGAAACATTTCAGCTTTGTTACCCTAAAAAGAAATATTTGCTTGTATTAGCGTGGGCGGAAGAGCAGTCTACTTACACAGGAGACTGCTTGTCAATCACCCAGCATCAAAGGAAATATCAGTGTGACGCAGCCCCTCAGGGCTGGACCTGGTTATGCCCGGATGCTGTATTTAAGCACGCAGCCCTGCTA